AATATATAAGAAAAAACATTAAACCACATCTATTTGTAAACTTTCTAGGCATAAGTGTTTTCTCTTTGGCTCATTACCAGTGAACCATTTATATAAAAAGTGATATTTGCTAAATAAATTGAAACTTTTAGTTATAATTGCTAATGAACACAAATTGCTTTGTGCAAAAAATGTATCTGTTTTTAAGTTTAGGAAATGTTTTAACAGTAAATATATAATGTAAGGTATTGAGCACAGAAAGAACACTGATCAGGAAGAGAACAAACCTGCTCACTACTTGGCTCTGTGATCCAGAGGAGCTCCATTAAGCTCTCTAAATCTCCATTTACTTATCTTTAAAAAGTCTTCATCATCATCATCATCATGTCTGCCCTAACTCTTCTATAGCATTGCTGTAAAGATTGCAAAAAGGCAGGTACTTTGTAAATTATTAAGTGCTATGCAAATGTAAATAATGATTATTGAAAAATATATTTAGGAACCCACTTTAACCTAGGCAGTTAAATATAATGGGTTTTCATCTAAGGATTTGATTAAGTTGATTGAATGTAGTAATTGGAGTGTTTTTCCTTTAGCACATTGACTGTCATATTAGAAAATTTTTTTTTTCCTTGGGGCCACTGTGTTTTATTACAAAAACAGAATAAAAACTTCAAAAATGAAATGATCCTTTCTAATTTAATGAGAAATTTATTTTTTATTGTTTTCCGTGCGTGACTTATATGCTCCCAAGGTAAAGAGACATGTGAGTTGTATATGCTTCATGAGGCCCTGGGCTCAAAACCAGCTTGAGTTAAATATAATTCACATGAGTTTAATACAGTTAATGTGTTAAACAAATAACATTCTATGAAATCTTGGCAATATAAATGTTCCGATTATGAAGCAGACAATTTTCAATGTTGATTCTGATGTTTTTTGAAAAGGAATCCATTTTTATCACTCTTGGTGCACACACAGAGCAAGTAAATGGAAGCTTACTGCTGTACAGCTCAGCCTGAATTGGAAAGTGCAAAAATGTTAACACATGGAAAAAACATATCAGTTTAGAGTGGGACAAGTCATTATCTCTGTGTCTTTTTCCACTTTGTAGAACAAAGCTTAGATTCAATCTCTTCTAAATTTATTTTAACTCTATCCATATGATCCTATAAGGGGATTATAACAGATTATGGCCTATCAGGTTTATTGCCCTTCTTTTTCTCCTCCTAATACCTTATGATACAATGACTATAAATATAAGATAGTGTAACCAAAGTGCTGCTAAAATGCTGATTCAGCTAATCAGCACTGATTCAGTGCTTGATTGTGTGTCTTAAGGTTCTCCAGTTTCAGCCCAATTTCTCCAGTAGAGCTTAATCTAAGTCAGCCTCTTCAGTTCAGTTGATTATTTGCCCATCAATACCCAACTCTCTCACCTTCTGGGAAAGGAAAGTGAAAAAAAGGGATAAAAATGGTAATATAAAAGATACATTTACAGTCATCCTTTCTCCCTATTTAGTATATAATATAGTAGAGGATTTGTGAGTTTATTCATGTAGACCTTATCCTCTGGTAATTCTGAAAAGTCCATGGCAGCATATTTTGGTCGCTGTAGAATATTTCATTTTTTTATATGCTTATATACATTGGAGTAAAAACGATTTCTTGTCAAAATGCTGCTAAAATTGCATTAAAAATCCTGGAGACTATTGTGATACCTTAGGATACACACACTGTAGGTGTGGGTTCCACTTAAGAATAGGAAATTTTCTTTCGTCTGCTATTGGGCCCCTTTTCTTTCTTTGATATGCTTTTAAGTGATCCAGATACAGGGTTTCCTTTGACTTTGACAAATGGTACCCTTTAATTAGCTCTATGGATTGCAGAGCCAGAACGCTGGATTGAGTTTTCCACTCTGTCCGTTGCTCACTAGAAAAGCTGAATTTTCTGAGCCCGGTTGTCACATGGTAACAGTCACATAGTTCTTTGCAGAAGGTAGATTTAAAGTCTGCTAAAATGCAGTAGACACTTTATTAAATAGTTTCATCTGTCCTAAAGTCCAAATAGTTCTCTGAAAACCAGTAAACACACCGTTTATACCCTAATGTGATTAGCAATCTCATCCTCTAACACTTTAACTACTTGCAAAGCCAAAGGCATTATCTACATTTGGGATATTTCGTGCTATACTGTGATTCTAAATGGTCACTATTACACTGAGAAACGGGTTCTTTAAAATTAGGAGCATTATCATATGATTCATGTCTTGTTATCCAGGTAACACATTTGTATTGAGGTCCTTCGCTGGCATTGTCAACCATCCCCAAAATGACTGAAAACAAGAGGAAACCTAGAAAGCTGTTTGTGAACAGGCAAAATAGAGCCCATGTTTCGAAGCTCATTTCCGTTATAAAAGAGAGCCTGGTCAGACACTCAAAAGGTTATGTACTTAAATTTACATAAAATTCTAGCTGGTGTGGTCATCTGCATTCTTAGCAGACAGTGGAATAGCAACACTTTGTAGGTGGGCTTCTCAAAGTAGACATTGCACAAGCATTGCCTGGCAGTCCAAAGCTGGACAGCTAGGGAGGGAGATGAAAGAACTACCGGAAGTGGTTATAAGAGCCAAGAAAAAGGAGGGAAAAAGGGAAGGAAGGAGGAAAAAACGTTCTCTGGGAGTCATTTAATGCAGTGCTCAGTGCTTTTCAAACTATGGTAAAATACACCTCCCAAAATTTTTGTTTAATTTTCAAGCCATCATAGACTGATAATTTTGTAAAATATAATAAGAACAAATTACTGAAAAAATGAAAAACACATAAAGAAAAACCTTGATTTTTTTTAGACTGAATATATATAATTACCCTGTCAAATTGTTATGGAAGTTTTTAAATAGATATTCTTAATTTCTGTACTCTGGTTAATAGTTTGCAAATGGCACTTACCTGCCGACCTCCTTGAGTAGGACTGATGCAGTGGAAAGGCACAGACCTCTGCACCATCTAATGACTCCCAGACTATTGCTCCCTCTTGCTTTGCTACACTGATGATTACATGACGATTGTATTAAATTGCATGGTCATCATCATTATATCAATTTCTCTAAGTTCAATACATTTATTTTTTTCTTTTGAAAAATCAGGGAAGAAACTTTAGCAATATTTCCATGTAAATGCTTGAGATACATAAAATGCATGAGGGTAAGTAATAAGCCTCACTGACCTGGAAAATTCACAGGAGTGGCAGGTTCCTTTGCTCTTGATAATGTCAATGCCCTTCAGCCAAAGGCTACCAGGAGCACACCAGCAGTTAGGCAAATTGGGTTTATTACTTGGATACAGAAAGAGAAACAGAGAGAGAGAGAGAGAGAGAGAGAGAGAGATAGAGAGAGAGAGAAAAGAATACACACCATAAGGAACCATGGGATGTCTAAGCAAGCGGATGTTAGAAGGAAATCAGTTGTAAGATTTGGGCTTTATTCGGATGAGAAGGGAAGGGACTAAGGAAGCTAGGGCTCTCTCAAGATGCTGTCAAAAAGCAGGGGCAATTCTGTGATTGGGTATTTTGTGGGTGGCACAGTGACTTTATGTCTGTGTTTAGCAAAACAGTTGTCAGGTAACTGTGTTTATTTATCATGGCATCAGAGTAATATTGCCTGTGGTTGCTATTTTGTGAGTTTATGTCCAACAGGAGATCAAAATGACCTGACTTTGAGTGTCAGACCAGCTCGTAGTAACGTGAAGTCAAATCAGTCCCAGACATCAGAGTCAGCTTTATTTCTTTCTCAATAATGAGTAAAAATGGCATCATATAAAATTGAAAACAAAGCTTAAATCTTGTTTATTGTCTAATTCTGATCTTTTCTTTACCTGATGCTTTCAGGATTTTTCTCTGGTGATGGTGTATAGGTGTGTTAACACAAGAATTTTTTACCTAACTGAATAGTCTATGAAGGCATGCAATATCTTTGATTTAAAGAGCAAAAAAGTATTATTTTAAACTAACTATTTAAGCCATCTCAAACTTTCAAAACATGTTTACTTACCTATCCATTCAGAATAAGTTTGCA